CGTCTCTTATAAAGATATGGTTTCCTGCATGTTGCTGGTGGGGGCCTCTGGGCCCCTTGAAAGCGCAGGCGGTAGAGACAGAGAAGCAGCAGCAGCAAAGGAATCAACCAAGATGCAGCAGCTCTCCTAAACCCTAAACCCTAAACCCTAAACCCTAAACCCTGCGTGTTTGACTGCAGAGACCGCGACGGGTATATTTCTCTGTTAGATTTTCTGCTTCTCCTCTACCCCCGCAAAGAAAGCAACAAAGTATGGGCCACCCGCATGGGGATCAAACAGCAGCAGCAGCAGCAGCAGCAGCAGCAGCAGAAGCAGGAACCAGCAGCAGAGGAGTCAAAAGTGCTTCAACAGCCTCATAGCCCTGGGACCCTCCGTTTGCACTTAGGCGACGCCCCAGGGCAGCTAGCTAGCCAGCCAGCTAGCCAGGCAGCTAGCCAGCTAGCTAGCCAGCTAGCTACGCATCCAGCTAGCCAGCCAGCTAGCCAGGAAGCTAGCCAGCTAGCTAGGCAGCTAGCTAGCAACATGACTACGAGCGCTGCTCTGTCTCTCCATGCTAGAGGGAGACTGCCTGCAGCACAGGAGGTAATGCTGCAGCTGAAGATTGAAAGAGAAAGAAGAAAAAGAGAAAACGAGAAGCTGCAAGACAAGTGCTGCTGCGTGCGCGTGTCTCCTCTCTCCTACTGTCTCCTTTTATCTTTATTTATCTGTCTCTTATCTTATCTTTATATCTCTCTGTTTGTTTGTGTTTTATATGTCTGTCTCTCTCTTTATGTGTCTCTGATTGTCTCTTTATCTCGCTGTTTCTTTTTCTTTTATTTCTTTTGCTTTCTTTTTATCTGTCTTTTATATCTCTCTCTTTTTATTTGTCTGTTTTTTTATAGCTTTATCTCTTTGTTTGTTTGTTTGATTTTTTCTGTTTGTATCTCTTCGCTTCTTTCTTATCTCTTTTAATTTTATTTATTTTATTTTCTCTCCTTTATCTTTTCTTTTTGTGTTAATCTTCTCATCTATATATATATAGGTTTGTATATACGTATATATATATATATATATTCTTTGTTTATTATTTATATTTTACTTATACTGTCTCTTTGTTTCTTGTCCTCTGTCTCTTTCTTTTCTGCTGTTTTCTCCCTTACACTCTCCCGTGCCTCCAAACCCTAAACCCTAAACCCTAAACCCTAAACCCTAGACGTAAATTTTTTGTTGGGTGTTAGGCTGAGGAGACAGTAGGGCGGTTATTGCTGGGGGTTCCATCAGGGCTTCACAGCAGCATTTCTTATTCTTTTAGTTGTTTAAACAAAAGAGAAAAGATATATTTATCTGCGCATACACTTGCTGCTGCACTCGAGCTGCTTCTTGCGCTATTGAGAGAAACAGAAGCAGCAAGGAGAGATCTCGCTTATACGTATACAAACCCTAAACCCTAAACCCTAAACCCTAATTTAGGGTTTATGCTCTAGGGAAAACCCTAAACCCTAAACCCTAAACCCTCATTTACACTGGTTTCTATTATCATAGGGCCTCAATAGATACGAAAAAGCGTTTGTATTTGGTTGTCAACAGCAAACCCTAAACCCTAAACCCCAAACCCTAAACCCTAATCTTGTGGGTGTGTTGCAGGAAGGGGTTTAACCTGAGGGCTGCCTGGGGTTTATTTGATGAGAAGGGTTTAGGGTTTATCTCCGCTAAAGACATAAAACGCTTTATGCAAAACAACCAAAGAAAAACAAATATAAGACTCATAAGAAAAATTCTAAACAGATACAGCAAAGGAGGAAGGTAATACTCACCAAACCCTAAACCCTAAACCCTAAACCCTAAACCCTAAACCCTGAAAACCTTATAAACCCTCACCCCTTATAATAAACCCCTGTGAACCCTAAACCCTAAACCGTAAACCGTAAACCCTAAACCCTAAACCCTAAGGTTGCAGCTGGTTGTTTAGTTGTGTGCTGCATTCGTTTTAGGTTTTGTTTTATGTCTCTTGCTGAATTGCTGCTGCCTTTCTCTTCGCCTGTAGCGCAGCAGCTGCTGCTGCGGTCTTCTGCTGCTGCTGCTGCTGCTGCCCCTCTCAGCTTGAGGGCTGTGCACCTAATAGGCGAAATACTTGAACTATCTCTAGACGTAAACCCTAAACCCTAAACCCTAAACCCTAAACCCTATCAAACCCTAAAAGGTGATAAACCCTAAACCCTAATCCCTCAACCCTCAACATCTTCACCAGCCTTCGCCTTTCAAACAAAGAGCCCAACTGCAGCAGAAACTGCAGCAGCAACTGCAGCAACAGCAGACGAAGCTGCAGATGTAGCAGCAGCAGCAAATGCAGCAGCAGCAGCAAATATATATATATTTTTATTTGTACAGACGGAGCAGAAGATGGAAGGCCTTAAAGAAATATTCAACAGCCAAAATATCTACGGGGCCCTTCAACATCTCACCATGTAAACCCCTGCTGCTGCTGCTGCTGCTGCTGCTGCTGCTGCTGCTGCTGCTGCTGGTGCTGGTGTTGCTCTTGCTGCTGCTGCTGCTGCTGCTGCTGCTACAGCTGCTGCTGCTACGGCAGTTGCTGCTGCAACTGCTTCAGCAGCTGGTAGTGGTGCTATTGCAACATTTGTTGCATCTGCTGCTGTTGCTGTTGCTGCTGCTGCTGCTGGTGCTGCTCTTAATACTGTGTTTCTTTTATTAGCGTTGAGCCTTTTGTCTCTTTGCTGTCTCTCTTTGCTTTTATTGTTTGATTATTTTATCTCTCTACTCTCCTTTATTTATTTATTTATTTATGTATTTGCTTATTTATTTATTTATTTATTTATTTGTTTGTCTATACAACATATATAAATATATATATATTTATTTATTTGTTTAACTATTTATTTATTTATTTATTTATTAGTTTGTTTGTTGCGGTGTATAGGGAGAAAGACGAAAAGAAAACAGTCTCTGTCTCTTCTCTTTGTTTTTTTTTGTCTTTGTTTGGTTGTTATTCATCGTCTCAGCAGCTGCAGCAGCTAATGTCTCGCGTCTTTGATGAAAACAAGCAAAACAATATTGCTCTTAATAAACTTATTGCTGCCTTCTCTACTTAATACATATGTATATCTACAACATCACTTACTAGCTAGCTAGCTAGCTAGCTAGCTGTCTGGCTGGTTGGCTGGTTAGGGGCCTTTCTATCAATATACCTATCTAATTATCTTTTTATCTGTCTGTGTAGCTAGCTAGCTAGCTAGCTAGCTAGCTACTTGAGGTGTGTATTGCAGCAGCTAGCTAGCCATCTAGCTAGCTAGCTAGCTAGCTAGCTGCTTGTTGGAGACAGTGTTTTTATTTGTTTAATCGGCGTGAGGGTTTGAAGCAAAAATATATTAATTATTTTAAATAATATTAAATACTCTGCTAACAGAAATAATACTCAAAGAGACAGAGAACAAGACAAACCCTAAACCCTAAACCCTAAACCCTAAACCCTAAACCCTAAACCCTAGCTGTTAAGGATGCCAAACCCTAAACCCTAAACACTAACTACTTAACATCCCAAACCCTAAACCGTCAACCCTAAACCTTATCTTTTTATTTTTTTTTTGTTTCTGTGTCTCGTCTTCTCTCTTTACTTGTCTCTTGTTTGATCTTACAGCTGCTGCTGCTGCTGCTGCTGCTGCTGTCGCTGAGGCTGCTGCTGCCGCTGCTGCCCGAGCTCCTGCTGGAGCTGCTGCAGCAGCTGCTGCTGCTGCAGTAGCAGCTGCTGTAGCTGTTGCTGAAGCCGCTGCTGGAGATGCTGCTGCAGTAGCATCTCTAGCAACAGCAGCAAACAGTAGTGTAGCTGCAGCAATAGCAGCATTTAATACACCAGCAGCAGCAGCAACAGCAGCAGCAGTACCAGCAGCAGCAACAGCAGCAGCGGCAGCAACAGCAGCAGCAGCAGCAGCAGCAGCAGCAACAGCAGCAACAGCAAATGGCTACCCCAAGCTCTCGGACCCTACAATTAGA